AATCATGAGGCCGTACGATTCAACAAGAGGTCCTAAGCTAAACCAAATCATGATAACAGAGGAAGCCTGTGTCGACATGCAAGTGGAGGAAGCTTGCATTTCCATGTATTCGCAACTCTCGGTTTGAATTTAACGCGGATTCAATTCAACAATCCTTGATTGTGTGGAAGACGTTATCAAATCCGTAATATATTGTCTGGTTCTCACCATCAACACCTGCATGCAACTGCATCAAATACATCACACTGAGAAGATGAACAAGAGGAGGAAACATGAATAAGATGGTGGAGAACAGGAGAAAACGCCGGGGATCTCATGCCGGCGAGGATTCTGGAGACGGCCATGGAGATGGGAAGGCCGTACACCGCATCCTCTGGTTTTTGTCAGCAGAGAGAGACAGAGAAGGAGACACTGTTGGACGCTTCACAGCTGCTCATCTTATAATCCATAATTCTATTTATTGCTTTAAAATGCTGATAACGTCAAGCTTAGATAGGTTGGTTCAGATTGAAATTGTGTTCAAGTTTCAACCATGAACAATTACCCTCAACCTACATCAGATGTCAATTTTGTGGTCTCGTAGTATCGTGTTAGGATCTGACTGAAATCAAAACATAAAAGGAATAAGCTATCTTTACAATGAAGGATTGGAATTAGGAGCTTCTCATTGGAAAGAAATGTAATCTAAATAATATGAAATAGCAAATGTAGGTGGCTGAGTCAGCCTTGTGATTCTTTTTATGGTTGATATGGTCCCTCACATATCCCACGTATACAGGGATCATGAAATTATCCAAAGGTTATCCTGTCCACTTAGAAATTATTTTGATCTATATGGCTGGTGATATGAAAAGAACAGCTTCACAGTGGGATAACAACATCAGTTAAGAAGGTTATCTATAAAGTACCTGAGTTGCAGTGCGGAGTCACTAATCACAGCAAACTCAGTGTCACGGCCACCGCTAGAAGTTTGGAATGAGAGAGTTGCAAGCAGGCTTAGATTTAATCCAGAGAGATGGCAACAGAACTGCATGCGCTGAGGAGTGAGGAATGAAAAGAGTGCTGAGATATTGGCGCGGCTCAATCAGAATGCAATCTGTAAGGCGTTTGCTTTGCCTTCTTGCTGATGCATTCTGAGTGAGCCGGACCAACACCACAATAGCCCTTTCATGGTTGATCCCTCTCCTTTCTCTCCAACCGTATGAGAGAGAGGATGTTGCGTTCCTTCTTCCAAGTGGAATATCTGGACCGATCAAACTCAACTCTCATCTGATCTCTTGGGGAAAAAAGCTTAAGGTTGGTGGTAGAAGATGAAGAGGGGAGAGAGATGGAGTGACAGGGAGATTAAAGTGGTGGGTATGTTGTGGCGAAGCATTTAAAACACGAGACCACCAAAGGATAGAGACAGCTGCTGCAGTATTCATGGCGAATGACTTCCTAACAGTGTTCTCTCCGTCCCTCCCGCTCACCGATATATGACTGACATTTGTGGTGGTTCA